AACATAATGAGTCTTGCATGTTTAGACGGGCCACAAGTAGAATATGCATTATGAAAACCTGACCTTTAAAGTTTCAAATGTAATTCATAAGTAATTGGTAAAATTACATAGGATTTGTTAATGCACTAAACCGGAGGGTCTTGAAACAACGTAAATCCGACCGTGAATATGCAAGAAAGTAAATAACACAAGATGTATCGTGGTTCACCCCAATGTTTGGGTTACGTCCACACTGATTATTGTATTTCTTTGAGATGTTAAGAGGGAGAGAGCATGAGAGAGCTTAGAGCTTAGGGGATGTGAGGAGGCTTAAGAAATGGCCCCCCTCAATGAGGAGAGTGATGAGTCCTTTTATAGAATAAGGGCTCCTCATTTATTACATATTTGCCATTTCCTTTATTACATAATTACATTTGAGTCCCTCGAGTATTTATACGAGATCTAAATACGGAGGCCCTAAGTATGGTACAAACAGTAGTCCCCCAAGTCTTCAATCAAGAAAGTCTTTTGGCTGGAGATTTGAAATTCAGTCCATGTGTGGGCCGAAGTAACTAGATGTCCTCTAAAACTGAATACCCGATATGAGGCGGTGCTCAATCTTAAATAATGCTCAACTAGAAGTAACACATGTTGCGAGGCTGCTCTGTTTGTGGCTTATATTGCCTTGGTTGGCTCGGCTTGTGGCGTTGAAGGTGAGGGAGTCCCTTTTATATAATAAGGGCTCGCTCCTCAATACACAAATGATGGGTTAAGAGTGATGCTCGCGGCGAGGCGGTTGCTCAGCTGGTGGCAATGCTCTCTAATGAAGGTGAAGGAGTCCCTTTTATAAAATAAGGGTTCGCTTCTCAGTACATGAATAATGGGTTATGATTGATGCTCGCGGCGAGGCGATTGCTCATCTGGCGGCAATGCTCTCTAATGAAGGTGAGGGAGTCCCTTTTATAAAATAAGGGCTCGCTCCTCAATACATAAGTAATGGGTTATGAGTGATGCTCGCGGCGAGGTGGTTGCTCAATATGCAGCGATGCTTTCTAATGATGGTAAATGAGTCATTTTTATAGAATAAGGGCTCACTCCTCAATACATAAGTGATGGGTGCTCTCTAATGAAAGTGAGGGAGTCCCTTTATAAAATAAGGGTTCACTCCTCAGTACATGAATAATGGGTGCTCTCTAATGAAAGTGAGGGAGTCCCTTTTATAGAATAAGGGCTCACTCCTCAATACATAAATAATGGGCTAAGTCCACCAAGTATTTTTCATGAGGCCCAATATATGGTACATAATGTAGTCCCCCAAGTCTTCGGTCAATAGAGTTTGTTGGCTGGAGACTTCAAATTGAATCCATGTATGGGCCGAAGTGGCGGTTGTTCGGAGGCGGTATTTGTATACCTTGCACTGAAGCTTTGTAGGTGAAGCTTTGTAGGTGAAGCTTTGCAAGTGAAGCTTTTGAAGCTGGAGCTTTTGTTAATGAAGCTTTTGAAGCTGGAGCTCTGTAAATGAAGCTTTTGAAGTTAGAGCTCTGTAAATGAAGCTTTCGAAGCTAGATTGACATGAGTGATGCTCATGAATGTTTATGTTGATTGACATGAATGATGCTCATGAATGTTGACATGAGTGATGCTCATAAATGTTAACATGAGTAATGCTCATGAATGTTTATGTATGACTGACATGAGTAATGCTCATGAATGTTTATGTATGATTGACATGAGTGATGTTCATGTATAATTTTGGAGTACTGGACGTACTTTTGATCACATGGTTGGTGATAAGAGCGACAGACTGCCGAATAATTTTGGGAGTACTGTGCGTACTTTTGATCACCTGGTTGGTGATAATAGCTGCAGGGTGCCAAATAATTTGGAAGTACTGGGCGTACTTTTGATCACCTGGTTGGTGATAATAGCGGCAGGGTGCCGAATAAATTTGGAGCCATAGGGTCTGGCTCTTTTGGGCATACGGGCCTTCGCCCCACATGACATTGCAGCCCATTATTTCGGGGCTTGCCAGTTTTTTTATTATTTTTTTTATTACCCTCTGATGGGGTTTATATAGATGTCTCTGAACTATAAGAAAAATAAATTACATCATTCAAAAAAGCTGCTGCAGAAGGTGGGTATTGCAGATGGTTAGATAATAGGATAGTATCTGCACAATTGAAGGTTGGGTAGTGGTATGGTCATTATGTTCCTTCTGCGCAGCTCCAGACTTCAAATCATTATGTTCCTCATCGAATCGGGGACTGATAACCCCACACATGTTCCTCCTGAAATTTGAATATCCAATTGGGGCAATTCCATCCATTGCCAACTTCAAGCCTTGGTCTCTACACCAAACAAACTCTTCACTCAATACATTGTCAGCCTCCTCAGCATTAACTTCCTCGAACCCATATGGCTTCTCTGGTGACCTAGTAACCTCAGCCCTCTTCTCCGGTGACATGCTAAAAATTCCTGTGGCGGCAGCCTGCACTAACCTCACAAGCTCACTTGAAATTCCATGGTTCACCAGCTGAAAACATCCATTTCTTACTATGGACTCCACCACCTTGCAAACACTAGCGTCACATCCATCTGAATTCAAGGCTCCAAAATCAATTGTGGGAGGATTGTTTTCAATAGATATTTACTTGGGGAAGAACTTGTCTGGCAAGATGAGGTCAGGGACTTGGAGGGAGTGCTCGAGGAATTCGGTGAGGACTTCATCGTTTGCGATTGATGATAGGCGACCAGAGGCAACGGGAGAAGGCGGCGGGGCACGAAAATCAACAGGGTTTTTAGAGATTGGTTCCAGGGAGGTTGCCATTGGGATTGGAAAGTAGAGAGGTGAGTGATGGAATAAGCTCACTTGTTCTAGTTCTTCTCCATTTCATGTGCTCTACTCTTGCAGTTGAGCTTTCTATGAGAGGCATGGTTGCCCGGCCCTAGTTTTGGAGATGATAGTGCCCTCACTGATAAGAAAGCCGTTGGCGGTTGACCTTTGAGCGTAGTACTTGGCCAGTGCCGGTTGCGGCACTCCGTTCAACGCCTGGCACCTCGTCATCGGTGCCAGCACCACCCTGTGAGAGAGATTGAACTTCCCCATCTTGTACGGAGAAAAGAGAGTGGTGTCCTCTCCCTGTGATGAAGCCTCTACCATTTTTGCCGATCTCAGATCGCCGGGTTGAAATCAAGGACAGAACAGAGTTTATCGATAGCCAGAGAAAAATGCGGATGAGACCCTGACGTCGTGAAGATCGTTTGGCAGAGCCCGTAGAGAGCCTGGACTTTGGAGTTCTTCCTCGCCATGCTTGTATAGCTTCGAAACGTCCGCAACTGCTGAAGCGCTGATAGACTTGTTGCAACTGCTGAAGCGTTGTTGGTCTCTCTCTGGGAGTCTGTGTCAGTCTCTGTTGGACTTGTTGCAACTGCTGAAGCGCTGATGGTTTTTTTATTTGCCTGAGGTGGTATTCTCAGTGTTGCAGAGAGAGTAGAGAAAACTCTGTGTCTGTGTCTCTATGTGGGTTTTTGCAGATTCACCATGGAGTGTGGTGAGGTTTTCACGGTGGTGAGATGAAAAATTGAGAGAGAACCGACATAACCTTTTGTGTCATTTCTCACAGACGGCGTTAAATGTTGATGCACAAAACCGGATAGGTCTTGGAACAACGTAAATTTGACCATGAATCTGCAAGAAAATAAATAACACAAGATGTATCGTGGTTTACCCCAATGTTTGGGCTACGTCCACACTGATTATTGTATTTCTCTGAGATGTTGAAGAGGGAGAGAGCATGAGAGAGCTTAGAGCTTAAGGGATGTGATGAGGCTTAAGAAATGGCCCCCCTCAATGAGGAGAGTGAGGAGTCTTTTTATAGAATAAGGGCTCCTCACTTATTACATATTTGCCCTTTCCTTTATTACATAATTACATTTGAGTCACCGAGTATTTATACGAGATCTAAATACGGAGGCCCTAAGTATAATACAAACAGGATTGTTAATGATAACGGCTAACATAGTTTCTACAAAAACCAATTTCAATTGTTCTGTTTTCTATTTTTATTATTTTAAATTCACAATTCCAAATTTTGTTTTAAATAGTTAGTGAAGAATTGGTTTAAATACAAATTAGTTATATCAATCTATGTGGAGAATGACCTTACATAAGTATTTATACTACAATTGCTTTATTCTCTTACAAGTATTTTTAAGTGTTTATCACTACTTAAAAATCCTATTTTGCAGGAAGTCAATAATCAATAAGAAAATGATTAGGACATCAATCTAATTCATAGTTTTTCAATAATATATTATATTACGTATTGTAATGTAAGACACGCATACTTTTTTATTTAATAAACGCAAGATAAGAAATCAACGACATGTATTCAATTGGGAATTTGAGAGATTTTAATGAATTTATAAATCCATGAATTTTTATGGAGTTTAATTGATTTGTAGGGATTCCATGTAAAATTTTGATTCAGTCCCCTCGAAATCTCTTGGAGAGAGATGAGATTTGTGGATGCTTAGAATACACTACGAAATCTATCCAATTCCCTCTAATTTCTCAACTTATTCAAATTCTTTAAAATCAAATTCTAATTAAACACACCTAGAATATTATAAAATACTTTAAAATCTTAATTGAATACACCCAGATTTCTAAGGATTTTAATAAACTATCTTAAATACTGATTGAATATACATTGAATTTCAGAGAATCACTTAAATTTCTGATTGAATACTTCTAAATTCACTAAAAGAACTAAAAAATTTCAAAATCTCAATTGAATACACAGTTTAGTTTAAAGTTTTCCATGCGGTGCACGTGTTTATACTATAGTTATTGTAGAAAGACAAAAACTTAATAGAATATCAGCGGAATATTATGGTCAAGGAGTTGTAGGTTAGAAACCTTTGAAGGATGACAAGAATACGGCCACTTGTTCCAAAATGGCACCTTAAAGCCGGCCACCTGCCGAATCAAAGCCTAGAATATTGTGCTCTGTCTCCCTCGCTCTCATTGGTCAGTAGGTCACAGTGCAATTTGAAATTCTCCTCCACTCTATAAATCGCAGAAGTTGAGGAAGTATTAAGCTGTAATAAAAATCTAGAGAAAGCTAGATGGCAGAGGGTTTTGATCAGGTAGTAGTGATATGTTGGTCACTTGTGTTGATCGGTGTTTTGAGTGTGGTGATGCGATGGCTTAAGGAGATGTGGCTGAAGCCTGCAAGGATTCGATCAGTGCTTTGGAGCCAAGGCAGAGGGCCACCAACTTCCTTCATTGTTGGGAACATCCCAGAGATGAAGAAGATTCAGTCCACCATCAAAGTCAACCCGAAACCATCTGATGCTAAACGTGTGCACCACGACTGGATTCCGTCATGCTTTCCTTATCTTCAACGATGGGAGCAGGAGTATGGTATGCCATTAATCAAATTTCATATTTAACTGCATACTTAATTAATTTCATGGTAGAACCCAACTACAGAGCCATGATTTTACATTACGAGATGCATATTACCAAATATGCTTGAACTTTTAACTTCTAATATACACCAAAGCATTATATTATACTTCAAAATATTACAAACCCAAGTATAACCAACTTATTTATGGAGGCAAATTATACATCATAACCCTTATATAGATTCATATAAGGAGAATTATATATATGTATGTATGTATGTATGTATGTATGTATGTATGTATGTATGTATGCATGTATGTATGTATGTGTGTGTGTGTATACACATTAGTATATTTTGAAAATTGCTGAAGCGGCCTAGGACTATATATCCTAGTCCCTTAATGTCCCCCCTACTGATGGAACCTCAATTTCTTTCATAATTGATGCCCTTATCGATTGAAGAAAGGGTTTCAGAAATCGGACCTCTTACGTTTGCTAATCGTGTAGCATACATGCGACTTTCTTCACTTTTTGAATCAACTATAGATCCAACTGTATATATATAGACATGCCAACTGCGACATATGAAGAACCTGGGACTTGGAACAAAGTTACTAATATATATTTGGATGAATTCAATTATGCAGGTTCAGTATACATGTACTCAACTGGGAGCAAGCAACACATGTATGTGAGCGATCCCAAGTTGATAAGGGAGCTGAAACTGCACAACTCCTTGGATTTGGGTAGACCCACATATCTGAGTAAGTCAATGCAGCCCTTGCTAGGTGACGGCGTTATCCGGGCGAATGGGCATGAATGGGCTTACCAGAAGAAACTCATTGCTCCTGAGTTCTTCCTTGACAAGGTTAAGGTATAGAGAATGTACCCTTTTCACTCTATGATGTACGTTTAAATTATTGTCCTCTAAAATTTAAGGAAGTTTAATATTGCCTCGTCAACTTTGAACCTTACATAATTCATTTGTCATTGGACTTTCAATTTAGTTTTGAGCGCCGCTATTTTTTTTTCTTAGACCAACTCCAATGGTTAAGGTTAAAATTTAAATTTTTAGTCCAGAAAATTTAGGTTCTAACTAAGAAACAGTTTTTCTTCTCCAATGGTTTTGGCTTGAGATTTTAGACCGAAATGATTAAAGATTTATTTTAGCCTAATTTTTTCGGTAACTTTTTTTAAAATAAAATTTATGTAGATTATTCTAATTTATTTTTATGAACATTCTAACCTCAAAAAAATTTAAATTCTAATAAATAACGAAAATTCACTGAACCTATCTCATTTTTACACCATCACATGAAAGAACATGGAAAACCACACAACCTACCCCCATTTTTAAACACAAATACATAGTGGGTAGAAAGAAAAAAAATGAAAGAATTGTTTGATGAAAGTGGATTTTGTTTGGATATTTGAACAAATTTTTTGTGTGAATTTTGATTTAAATAATTTTTTAACGTGGGTCTTTCCACAAGTGGCCAATAGTGTCAACAACTTTCTAACCACTGATCTTGGCTCATTTTTTGAGTTAAATATGTCAAAAAATAACTTTTAACTCAAAACCATCAAATATGTAAATTTTTAAATTCAAGGAGGGTCCCTCAAACTTGCAAGTAGGCACATTCATAGAAAATTTCATAAATCAGATTGTTAGAAGAAATCCACTTTCGAAGACTGAATCTGAAGCATGTTTTAAAATATCAATGGAGCTCAAAACCGAATTGAAAGTCGATAGAGGTACATTAGATGAAGTCCATAACCATAACCCAATAGAGGTACATTAGATGATGTCCATAACCATAACCCATAAGTGCATCACTAAACTTGTCCTTAAAATTTAAGCATGTGCGGTAATAGAAATGTTGAAGAGTTGTAGGGTATGGTGAGTCTGATGGAGGAATCTACAATGGCAACGATTAAGAAATGGGAGAGCCATACGCGTGAAAGTGAGGAAGGCATTGCTGAAATCACAGTTGATGAGGATTTGAAAAGCCAATCTGCTGATATCATATCAAGAGCTTGTTTTGGTAGCTCTTATTCCCAAGGCAACGAGATTTTTTCAAAGATTGCTATCCTTCAGGATGCCTTGTCTCATCCAAGCTTGCTCTTTGGGTTTCTCAATTTTAGGTCTGTTCGGAGAAATTTACCTATCACATGTTGCATACTTTTTAGAAGGCAAAATCTTAAGTGTAAAGGGTTGCTATCGTTGCTTGTCTATCTCTTTCCCCATGTGACACAAGAGGATATACACCATGTTGCACTTAAGTTTCTATCCTTCAAAGAGGGAGTATGCAACATGTTTCATGGAAGTGTCTCTCATTAGTGTTATGTTAGTAACTTAGAACATGATTTTATATTTCTCGTCAAATTTACTCATGCTATATTTTTTTACCATGCATTTGAATCATCCATGCAGATTCCTTCCCACGGAAAATGACAAAAAAGTAAGGACTTTAAGAAAAGAGGTGGATTCTTTGTTGCTCAAATTAGTGAGGGATCGCCAAAAGAAAATCCAATTGGGTGGTGCATCTGAAAAGGACCTATTACAAATGATACTTGAAAGTGCTGCTACTAGCACTGAAATGCCTAGCCATAAAACAGACCAATTTATTCTGGACAATTGCAAAACTATCTACTTTGCAGGATCTGAGACCACTGCTCTATCAGCATCCTGGACCCTAATGCTACTGGCATTACAACCCGAATGGCAAGAACGCGTTCGTGCTGAGATTGTTGAGGCCTGTGGGGGTGTTGATCAGCTGCATCATTGCTTGCAAGACGTGGATAAATTGCGCAAGATGAAAACGGTACTCGAATTTACGTACGTACTATCAAGTGTTTGACAAATATTTTCATATTTTTTTATGTTACATTTATCTATGTATTGCAGCTGACAATGGTGATTCAAGAGAGCCTGCGCCTTTATGGACCTGGAGTCATAATGGCGAGAGAAGCTCTTGCAGAGATGAAGTTGGGGGACTTAGATGTGCCGAAAGGTATTCACATATGGACATTCATTCCAGCAGTGCACCGCGACCCTGAAAATTGGGGTTCGGATGTTAATGAGTTTAAGCCGGAGCGGTTTGCAAATGGGGTCTCAGAAGCATGCAAATATCCCCAAGCATACATGCCATTTGGTTATGGGAGTCGGTTGTGCATAGGCCAGACTTTTGCCACGCTACAGTTGAAGATAGTTCTCTCCCTGGTTCTATCCAAGTTCTCCTTTTCCCTTTCTCCAAATTATCAGCACTCCCCTGTTTATAAAATGTTATTGCTGCCTGAACACGGAATCAAACTCCTTGTTCGACGCGTGAGAACATAAAATAATCACATTTTTAATAAGGGAGACTCATATTCAGTACGATATGTTATCACTGTATGTTATAAACATACATTACTCATATCGTTATCCATCTCATACATATTTGGATTGATCAATAATAAATGTTAATTACTGGCGAGTTTGAGATTGTTGTGTTTTTTTTTTAACTACTTCTGTTGTGCTTTAAGAATACTCAGTTGTAAACTAAAGTAGTTGACTGTTTGATAAACTGTATTTTTAAAAATGTTGTGAGTAGGAAAAACAGTGTAAAAACATTTGTTAAGTTTCAATGTAAAAGTGATATAATTGTATATAATGAAAAAAATAGACATTGTAAAATAGACATTGTAGTGAGAGTGGTGGCAACGACAATGATGTTGAGGGTAGTGGCCGTGATGGCAGCATTAATGGTGGGGTTTAGTGGTTAGACTGTAGAGGTAGCCATGCTGCAGTGGTGGCATTTGTGGTGGTTGTGGTGGTGGTGGCGGCGTTGGTGGCAATTATGACGAAGGGAAAGACAATAATGGTGGTAGTAATGGTAGTTGTGGTTGTGATGCTAGTGGTGGCGGTTGTGGTTGTGGTGGTAATGGTGGTGGTGATGTACGGTTAGTGGTTGTAATGGTAGGTGGGCACTCTGTTTACTAAACGTAATAGGTATATACAAGGATAAATAATGTCATTTTTTAAAATTAATTAGTGTATTATATGAATTAAAAATATTCATTAAAGTCTCAACTCTGTTTTTTATAAAAGCAACCTACATATTGCTTTTAAAAGTTGTTGTCTGGAAATCATTGCTTTAAAAATAAGCAGGCTATTTTTTTCCATACACTTTTTTATTACTTAACTTTAAAGTGAAGTAGTTTTTTAAAAAAAACAATACAAAATGGGGCCTTAGTCTCTAACATTAGGAAACTGTTTTTTCTTTTCTGCAAAAATCAAGAATCCCAATAAGAAAAACTTATGTGGGGCTTGACTTGCCACTGAATTTTGCTGAGTGAAACTACAATCCAATAAAAACTTGCGACATGGTAAGTCTTATGTATAATATTTTATCATCTTTATTATTTAAAACTCTCATAATTATTTTCCTACTAATTAACTCTTCCCCCCCCCCTGGGGGCGGGCTCTCTCTCTCTCCTTCCAAATTTTCTCTCGTGTCTCCTAAATTTCAGAATTAATGGATATCAAACCATGTTTCACATAAGTCCCTTCAAAAGGGACTGGAACCGCTCCACATATATTTCTTTCGGAATAAGCCTCCCTCCCTCACGTTTATCTTCCTCACAATAATTTCTACACGTGAGTATCCCAAGTCCCCACCAAATGACGATGGAGACTACCCAGCTAGATCTCAAGTGCACAAAATCTCAATGCATCATGTAATTAAATTTAGAGAGTTTTAACGAAATATTGCCAGTATTGTTCACTTTTAAAGAAAAATCATATTTTTGTTTTTCCCTGATATTATTCACTACACCTTTATTTGTCATTTTTCATTAAAACTAAAGTTTTTTTAAACTTTTCGTTAGTTTTCCTTTAAATTTATGCAAGTCACAATGCTGGGCAATGAAATATTGCTCAACAAATTTATGCAAGTCACATTGCTAGGCAATGAAATATTTTTCTCCATATTCTTATGAAGAAAGGAAAGACATAGAATGGGAAAAAAAAAGGTAAAGAAAATGGAGAGAGAGGAGAATGAAACATTAAATTGTTGTAAGCCTATTTAATTGAACGATCTAGGGTTTAGAGAGAGAGGGGGGGCTGACCACAATTAGAGAGAAGAGAGAATGATTTAATTGTGAGGTGTGTTTGATTCATCCCATTGTGCCTTTATTTATAGTAGTAGGATAGGTAAAAACATTTCCTTTAGGATTACAACATTTAATAGGTAATCTACTCCTAATAGAAATATAAAATGCATTCTCAGATTCCCTAGGATTTACACAATCATATTCCTATTCTAAATATGACTGCAACACTCCCCCTTGAGTGTGTAAATTCTCAACAAACCATCGCATTAGATCTCCAGCAAATAAGGTAGAATAGTTGATGAAGTTCTCGGCACAACGAGTGATCGCGAGTCTCAATGTCACGCCCCGATCCTGACATACGTCTAGGATCGACACGTGACGTTACCAAATACTTGTATATCTCACATACCCCATCTACGGGATATGGCAAATCACAACTCGAGAATCAAATTGCAAAGTAATTTTTCGTTTACTTTATGGCTGCATCTAACTTCCTCGTTAGACTGCCTACGTACCCTCAATATGGATCAAGCCATTCATAGTTCGCTTATCACAAAATCAGACGTTTATTCCACTAAGTTCAAGTAGAAAATCATAGCATTCCTCAATCATTTATTATAACCTGACAACATGTAATTCCTGGACTCATGCTACATACCAACCCCCATGAAAACATGATTTCTCTCCCATCCAACATATAAATCATTATGTCTCATCATGATAGCAATTCACAACATACATCATATCTAAGACCCGACGAAACACAAAACCATTCTCTAGCCGCATTAATTAATTAATTTGATCAAAGTAATAACAATTATTCCCATATCTTCTAAATTCATACATTATGAAATCATAATCGAATCGTAGAAAATCCCGAAATAGTCACTCAGACGTCTAACATATTTTCTAACTCAATTCACAAGATTCTCGAAACCATTGACACAAATATATATATATATATATATATATATATATATATATATAACTAAGGCTAGAGTGACACAGTTAAGTCAAGCCTACTTCTCCAAATAATGGGATTTTAGACTACTCCACGAAATTCAACAACCTTGGGTTCCGGACCACTCAACAGAATCAAACTAAATATGATCGCCTATCAAATGTACCAAGTACAACTAATCATCATCACCTCTAGAATGTGTATGGTCCCCCATCGCGGATATACCAAGCACGACCATAGGCATAATCTCATCGTGCAGGCAGTGATCACTCATTGCGGATGTACCAAGTATAATCCCCACTGAATACATGTGGTCCCCCATCACGGATATACCAAGCAGAACCACATCCTAGCTCTAGGTAGTAACCACCCATCACGGATATACCAAGCATGATCACTCCTAGCATGCGTATGGTTCCCCATCGCGGATATACCAAGCAGAACCATATGCATAGTCTAATACCGTAGGCAATGATCACCCATCGCAGATATACCAAGCATGATCACCCCTAACAGTGCCCCATCGCGGATATACCAAGCAAGACTGTGTCATATAGCTCTAGGCGGTGATCACCCATTGCGGATTTACCAAGCATGATCATTCCTAGCATGTGTATGGTCCCTCATCGCATATATACCAAGCAGGACCATCCATGTACCACTACTACATAGTGCAATCTCATCATCCCACATTATACATAATTATACGCATACGTGCTATCGATTCCACATATCAAACAGTATCTAGTCATATGGAGCACAACACAAGGAATTCCTTTAATTACTATTTCTACTAAAAATCTAATAAAGTACCTAACTCATCTCCTAACTTTCATTTCCATCTCATGCTAGGTAGTAATGCCAAGTTCAAATAGGTATTCAGCTAGCAATCATATCCAAATAATTATCAAACAATATTTAGAATCCATAATTGTCATAACATTCATCATAATTATCATTCACATTATTAAAAAGATAATTAAACACATATATATCACAAATATCATCAGTACACAAGCCAAATCATATGTAATAAGCATAGGTCTATGGCTAAATATATAAAAATCACATTTCAATAGAAATCATATTTATAAGACCAAATCATATTCACAAATGATACCAATATAAGAAATTAAGATAATAATCATATATGATATATTCAAGTCACTGTCTAACCAATATAGGCCCACTAGACTTCAATTAGTCCTGTAGTACTAATTTTATTATTTAGAACATTTCGAGACATGTTGCCCACAAGTCAACTCTCGGTCAACGATAGGGTCCACAACTCTACGTAATTCAATCCTGAAGATCCACACATCGGATTTGTGATCCATAACTTCCCAAAGTCCACATTATGCTTCTAGAATAACATACTAAAATTTCATTATGATCCAATGATCGGATTGTCGTCAATCACACAAACAAGTGGCGGTCCAATTTGATCACCACTCCAAACAATTGAATTTTGGGAAACCAAGCTAGAAATAGATTCACATGGTCACTAGAAGATATTTGGTACTTAGACAACACTCGTGGATAGCCCCACGCACCGCCACACGCGGTGGTAGCCAAGGTGGAGGGTTTAGAAACCCCGAATTTTCAACAGTAACTAAATGAGCTCAAATTTACGTGGTAGCTAAAGCTTAACAAGGGAAACACTTTTCACAACTAGGCCGACGATAAATTCTAACCGGAAACCGTCCAAATTCACCGGAGAAAACTGGATTTCTAGGGTTCTAAACACCCAACTCTAAAAGGAATACGAAAGCATGAACCAAGCATACCAACTTGAAGATTATGAAGAGTAGATAAAGTTTCATACCTCACTCAAAGGAAATGGTTGCCTGAATCACCGGAAAAATGATAAAACCGCTAGAAAAGTCGTGGATTTTGTGGCTTCGAACTACAAATATGGAAAATAAAATGGGAAATCTAACATTACAGAGTTGTATGGCTCGTCATGAGCTTTCCATGGACACCAAGATCACCCAAAACGGAGCTCGGACGGAGGAGATACAAGCGGGTCAAGTTGGTGGGTTAACGAGTCCATTCTCCCACCCCCCCCCCCCAAACGGGTTATAATCAGATCCTCCTTCCTTTTTTTCTTTTTCTTTTCTTCTAAATGGTCCATCAACTTTTATTGGTTACCATTCCCACATGATGGGAGTTTTAATTAATTTATAACCTATAGTTTAGTAAAACGATTTCAAACGTCCGTAACTATACCGTAATAATCCGGACTCGCAAACAGTTTTTGCCTATGCGTTCGTGATTTCGAAATCTATTTGAAAACATTACTTGTGACCTCGAAATATCAACGAGTAAATAATAATTTTCCAAACTTCACTCTTCGTAACTAGTTTAATTGAAATCTAAATTCAAATAAATTAATATAAATTCTCGAAAAATAATATAAAATCTCAATAATACAAATACGTAGATTATAACAGTGAAATCCAGGAACGGGATTTCACATTCTTCCCCCCTTATAAAATTTCATCCTTGAAATTTTCAGTACCAATC